TGAAATGCTTATTAATTGTCATTATAGATGTTTAAATTTGTCAGTGTCTTTCAAGCCACCAGCAGGATGCTTTTTATTTAATAATTTAATGTTTATTTCATAATTTAATAATTAAATGCTGTACGATGGCTATTTTTTTTATAAACTCTAACAACTGCAGGTCTAAATAGATTTGTTTTTTTCTTTTGACTAATATGTGTGTGTTACTGTGAATGACATTGGAGATTTTTTTTCACCTACATTTTGACAATTTATTTTTAGAAAAGTTATTTGAAACATTAGAGACTGTGCGTCTATGCATATAAAGTCACTTTTATAAATTTTGTTTCATTAACAATAAAATTGGACGTCTCAACCAAACAAAAATCTGTTTTGTATCTTTATAACACACTGACAATCAGCTAAAGACGAATAAAATTAATAAATGTGCACAACTTATGAAAAACGAAGAACAACATGAAGTGTTAGCTGTCACACAAGGAATTCTGGGTTTTAAAAAAAGCTTTTTTCCAAGATGAGAAAATGTTAAATGAACAGTACTCTACTGTAAAATGACGTTTTTCACTATAACAACATATACATATTTAGTAATTGTTAAGTTTTTATTTTCAAAAATGAAAATATACAAGTTCTACAATCAGATTGAAAAATACTTTTAACAGCTATTACCCCTATATATAGGCATGGGCCGGTATACGATTCTGACGGTATAATAACCTTGTATAAAAACATCAAGGTTACACAGTATTGTGAATACTGCTCTAAAATATAATCTTTTTAAATATCTGGGTAAATAACAAAAACTTTTCCCCTTTTAAACACAAAATATTTTATTTTTTTATTTTAAAAAACATTTAAAATATTTTGGAACAGTAAACATGTCAGGCTAAATAAGGAAAATCTTTGTTTGTAAAAAAAAAAATATATTTCTTTACAATTTAAAATGGCATCTTTAGATATCTTTTTTTCTGGAGATACTGTTGTCATAATAAACTCAAAAGAAATTGTAAATAAACCGCTGTATACCTTGAAAATGCTTATTGTCCCATGCCTATCGCCCACCCCATTATATGCACATCAGGAAACAGAATAACTAGTTTAGACCAAGCTATTAGATAAATGACATTAAATTTGACATTTGTAGTATCAGATGAGAGTTAAGTGTCCACTATTTCTTTGACGTCGCCTGTATAGATTTTCCACACAGCCTGAATGTCTAGTTTAGCATGGCTGATCCGTACTGATGACAGTTCCAGATACAGTATTTCCAATAAAGGATGCAATCAGTGCTTAACAGAAAGATCATGAGGGGGTTTCTACCTCAGTCCCAACATTTTCATTGGAGCAGCTAACCAAAATTTACAGACCTTTGCATTTAAGGGAAATTGAGTTATCATTCAATAACAGCAATACAGGATCTTTGAGAAAACTAATTTTTGTAACTTTAAATAAAATGTCCAGCACAGAATCCCAAAGTTTTTGCACCTCCAGACATTCCCACATCATATAAAAAAAAAGTTATCTGAACACTGTGGTTTAAAGAACGTACAATACGGATGTGGAGATAAACCTATGAGATTTGGTATAGGTGTAGTTACATATGCCCTCTAAGAATATTTTTTAAACTTTATTACTCAATATGTTCATAGAAATATGGCAACACTTCAGTTAACCATATCACACTATTAACTTTATTAACTATTATTAAGATATTGGCTGTTTATTAGTACTTTTAAAGTATGATCGTATTATATATCCCTAAGCCAACCCAATACCTAAACCAACTACTACCTTAATAATTATTAATAAGCAAATTAGAAGGTTTTTTTTTTTAGCTGAAAGTCAAACTTAATGTTTTAATAATGGTGGGAATTGTATTAAAATTACCAAAATACTTTTCCCAGTAATGGGTTTCAGCTGGAAGGGCATCCGCTGCGTAAAACATATGCTGGATAAGTTGGCGGTTCATTCCGCTGTAGCGACCCCAGATTAATAAAGGGACTTAAGCCGAAAAGAAAATGAATGAACGAATGACCAAAATACTATTTCATTCTTTCTACTTAAATTAAAAATCACCTTTTATGTAACTAAATATAAAATTGACCAGCAATCTCATAGCGAATGAATTTTGTTTCAGTGTTAGTAAATCTATTAATAACCAATTCACATTGTTTATGCTGTACACAAATCAACAAGCCACGTTTCCTTCTTTCATAATAATAAAACAGCAGGAAAAAGATCTTCAACTCAAAATGCATTCAAAAGCTAAATCTTGCAATTAGAAGTTGGTGTGTGTGTGTGTGTGTGTGTGTGTGTGTGTGGAAGGGGGGCAGGCTTACAGCACAGGACCATCTGTGGAAGTGGCCTGTTGAGCAACGCTCACTGACTTAAAAGTGGTCAGCCTTTAGTGCATCTGTAGGCCAGGTTTGCCGAACAGCGAGACATTAGATAAAGCTGATTTGTTTGCTGGAAAACTGTACTTGAGGAGCTTTGGAAGCAGCTCATATGCGTGTGTGTGTGTGTGTGTGTGTGTGTGTGTGTGTGGCAGGGGGAGGGGTTGGTCTTCATACAAGCTGCTGCACATTTTCCCAGGTCCAACCCACGCCTTTACTGGAGCACCAGCCAGACATTAAAGCAGCATCTACACTCACGCTCACACACACACACACACACACGCTCACTCACTCACACTCATCCGGACACTATACTCAATCCACAGACCTCACGCACTGGAAAACATGTTTCCACCCACACCAGCATCTACAGTAAATAAGATTATTGAACTGAATGCAGAAACACAAACAGCGTCTCACCAATCTGCACGTCGTCACCGCTCTGGCAATCCCGCCAGAAGTTTCTGACAGGAAAGAAAATAATAAATAAACTGGCACAGAGAGGTTAAGGTTCTTATAATTTATTGCAGTTTGCACACAATTTAAAAATTTCACCAACAGCACACCAAAAGTACAAAACTAAACAGCCTCATAATTTACTTCCCTTGAGAAAATGAAACGTACTATGATTGTCAAAGCTAAATGTCTAAATCCATAAAAAGAACAATGTCAACATAGCAAAAAAATCTCAGAAGGGAAGCAATTACATGTGAAGTCCAATCCTTTTTATTTTATTTTATCATTTTTTTTAAATTCCAGACAGCGATTGTCTCTGAATTTACCATATATTTTCTTCTTTCCCGTTTGATTTTGACAAACAACTGTTCTTCACACTGGGTTCCTGGGTTCAAGTAAACTAAAGGGGTGTCTAATTTATGGATATGCTTCATAGGCCATTTCACAGCTTCATTTCCATTGAACAAAAGTCAAAACAAAAATAAAAGACATCCAGAATTCCAGCGACAGTTTCCAGTTTTCACCCTCTGAGTATAAGCTGATAACAGTAGTTTAAGGCGGTCAAGTACAACAGAAGCCAACGAAATAAAATAAGAATAAAAGAAAGCGTAGAAAACAAAATCAACCCCAGAGTTGATCTTTTTTTTTTTTTCTGTCACATTGTAGAGTGCAAAAGGTAAAAGTACCACCGTGCAAAACGCCATGAGGAGCGTGCGCTGTTGGCAAAGCTCAACCTTTTCACTAGCCGTTGCACCAGCCAAATATATGGTAGGACAGTTCCTGAGGCCTGCGTAGGCCCGTGTGCCGCACACTCCTGTCCTGCCGGAAACATGTGCGGAGCCCCCCGGCCCTCTCTAACTAAAGTAGTTCAAGCATTTCAGCTCTATGTGAGTGACTGATCTACGTCTACAGTGCTAAGACATATGTTTTCTTTGCTTTTAACTTCTCCGGATTTAACAGTGAAAGTGTTTTGTGAAACAAACCGACAAACAAAATAAACAATGTGTTAACATTCCTAAAATGAAACCTTAATATAATGAATTTAAAGGAAACAAAAGTATACATTTTTAAAATAAAATCACAAATGCTGCAAAAACAACTTATCAAACAATCATAAATTGATAGATTTTTTCTTTTTTTTTTTCAGTGTAACGAAGTCAATTCGGTTAATAATTAGGCGTATACATTTCATAAAGGCCTCTTTTGCACATCATTCTAATTTCATCCACTTCAAAGGTGCGACCAACCTCGCCGTTCAAGTGACGGTTAAAAAAAAACAAAAACAACACAAACACACGCACACAAACCACTCGAGCTTTATGCTGTTTAAAGATCCTTCAGCTTTCTCCAAATAGATGTGCGCTGCTGAGGACACCCATAAAGAAGAGCTGCACCATCAGCCACGCAAATGTGTCTTCGTGGCAATCAAATCTGAAGCAAGTGCCAATTGAAAAGATAAATAAATAAATTACAAACAGAGCCGACATGATTCAAATGACAACAGCCAGTAAACAGGACACTGAGACGAACAGCAGTTGAGGACCCAGCACTGGAAAGAGCAGCGCGAGGAGATGCTAGCAGGAGCAACGCTAGCCTTGTGAACAATTAATGCAGCGCTTCTGCCTCTGCAGACACCTGGCCCCTCGTTAACCTCTGAATCCTACGAAATGAATCGCTTCATGTGTGTAGATACTGCAGAGCCTAATGTCAGTGCATTTCCACATTCTTCACAGCCCAGAAAAAAAAAAAAAACACCCCCGATTCTTTCTCTAATGAGACGATAAAACTCAAATCTACCAAGGAATCGAATGAGTTAATTAAAAAATACACTCTCTGATGCAAAACAACAACGAAAATAAGAGTAAGTTAAATAAAATTCATGCAATTTCTACAGCGGTAATATTAAAGGTACTTTTTTTCTCAACAGACAGGTGCCCTGACTGCAATGAATCAGTCAATTACAGTGTACAGCAATACAGCAAGTCACATCTTTTTCAATATACAGGTCAGACATCATGCAACAACAGATTCCGTTTTAAAAACGAAAAAAGTCTCAATAAAACACTACAGAAATCTCTAGAAATGCAGCTGATGTAAAAACCAACCTCAGTAGCAAACGAGCGCAACTAAAATGCCAAAACGACTTCAAATCATATTAAGGAAGGATAGAGAGAAATAATAATAATAATAATGCAGCAACTGATGTGAAAAAGGAGGCTGTACATTGCATGAGTGCCTTGTTTGTCTTCCATCAGTCAAGTTTCCTATAACGAGTCAAAAATGTACAAGAGCTTAAGTAACGCAAGCTTAGAGCTTCCTTGTGGGATTTAAAGGACTGACCTGCTCATACACTAGGTGTGTATGTGTGAGTATGGCCACAGTCATACATCAGGTATGTTATAGTAGTGCACTATATATATATATATATATATATATATATATATATATATATATATATATATATATATATATATATATATATATATATATATATATATATATATATATATATATATATATATATATATATATATATATATATATGCTTACTTAAACAAGAGGCGAGTGTGTACAGGTAAATATATGACCATAGTACCCGTTTAGTGTGTCCTTATTTCTAAACTCCTCTGTCTATGACCTGAAATCTTCATATGCTTTTCATGGCAGATGTTCCTTGAAATTTAGGAGCGTATACAAATACTGTAAATTATATACAGTTGAAAATCCCAATGAATATTTTGTTCTGGTTGCCAAAAACCAGAACCCATGTTTTATAAAAACCCAAAGTAAACAGGAAAAAAAGAAAGACCCTAAGTCAACCAGAAAATATATTAAAAGAAAATCAGTAGTAACATTTTCATGTGCTAGTAAAGTGCAATTCAACAAGATTTGCAATGTACATACAAGAAAAATGACTGATTCAGACCCTTCGGCCGTCACTCCTTCCCACTCTTACCTTCACCTTTCTGCCCCCAAAAATGCCACTCAGATCTCTTTTTAAATTAACAAGCAGTTCAAACAGTCTGCAATCATTTTAGCATTCATTTCCACAGTTCTTGAGAACTATCTTCCAGTGCCCAGTCTCTGACCGTGGGTAGATTGAGCGCCTCGCTCTTAACCGAGAGCGAGTTGACCAGTTCGCAGTGGAACTTGCGGATGTGTCGATACAAGTCCCCTGACTGTGTGAAGCGCCGCTCGCACCACTTGCAAGCATGCGGCTTCTCGCGTGTGTGCACGACGGCATGCCGGCTCAGGTTGTGTGAGTACTGGAAGCTCTTGCCGCAAGTAGTGCAAGTGTAGGGCTTCTCGCCTGAGTGTGTCCTCTCGTGGCGTTTTAACGTGTACATGCAGGAGAAGGTTTTGCCACAGATGGAGCATGTGGGGACGTTGACGTCGCCTGCCGGCTTGGCCCGTACGCCTTCCTGTTCACGAAAATGTGTGCTGAGGTGGATTTGCAGGATATGGGGGCTGGGAAAGACCTTGTTGCATAAGGGGCACATGAAGATCTGGGTATGTGGTGCCCCCAGCATGCTGGAGACATAAGGCAACAGGGAGCTCTCGACTCCCGCAGCCTCCTGCACTCGATCACTGTCTCCGCCGAGGACATCTGTGTCATCATCGCCTCCTTTGTCGTCCCGCTCAAGCTCACTGGCCAGCGAGGCCTCGCGCAGAGCCGAGAGATGAGCTTCCAGGCCCAGCCTCCGCTGCGCAACAAGGCTGAGGTGGGTCCCGTTGGTGCTGGGTGGCTCCTTCACACCACTGTGCTCCATCTCATAGTCACCGCTCACCAGTTCATCATCGTCGGAGCCGGTGTCCTTTTCCACCTTCACTTGAACCAGGGCACTCTGGAGGCTGTCAGGGGTCACAGAGCTGCAGAAGTAAGGGTTGCCAGCAATGTTCTCCCCAGGACCTCCACCAAGGCTCGATTTCACAGAGAGGTCAAGCACACAATCAGTGTCAGCAGAGACTCTCCGAGATGCTGCAGAGCGACGGGACAGAGAGCCAGAAGAGCTGCTGGGGCTGCCGGCAGGGGATTTGCCAGCATCAGGACCATGCGTTTCTGCCTCCCTGGGGCTGGTGGTGGGAGACGTGGTCCGGTCGGAAGGCAGTCGCATCCACATGCTCCCTGGCTCCTGAGGGCTGTCCCGCTTGTTCTCCATGTCCTCATCATCGCTCTGCAGCAGGTCAGCAGTTGCGGGCCGGCCCGTGCTTCCACCTTCTGAGAAACTCTCCACCTTGTCCGAGCAGCTGGACGTGTCCTCTTCCCGCTTGGTGCTGTCAGCCTCAGCCGTGGCCTTCTGCTTGAGCTTCTTCTTGCACACCTTGACGATATCATACATGTGGAGGTAGCTGGCAGCAGCCAGCACATCTTCCACTGGAAGTGATTTAAACTGCAGCTTTCCTTCGTACATGAACTCAAGCAGGAGAGCGAAGGCCGGGGCTGTGACAATGTCGCTGTTCAGATGAACAATGTCCCTTTTGTCTAGCTGGTCCTTGTAAAAGAGGTGGAAGTACATGCTGCATGAAGCCAGCACTGCACGATGGGCTCGGAACTGGGCATCACCGACCAGCACAGTGGAGTCACAAAGGAATCCCTGATGCCTCTGCTCACTCAGACACTGTAGCAAATGTCTGCTGTGGTCTGGAAACTCCATGCTGTCTTCATAACCTGCAAAAGACCACAGATGTTAGTGAGGCTCGCTAGAACAACAATTGTTTTGTCTGTGCTCTGTGTGGAACTTCTCTCTTTCCCACCCGCTCCGTCCCTCTCTCTCCCTCTCTCGCTCCATGCACACAGACATACTCTCACACACTCTAATTCTCCCTCCCTCCCTCCACCCCTGTGGGAACACTGGAAAAATGTTCACCACAGTCCTGACATAAAAGGATTACAAAAAAGCACATGCAATAAGTATAAAATCACGGTTTATATATTATGCTAATTGTATTTTCCTCACTTGTGCACTTTCAAGTATGCAGTGCTGTGTTTAATATTGCATTTCGCACTAACCCTTTTAATTAAAAGTTTAAATCGCATGAGAACTGGGAAATTAAAACAAACATGCCAATAAAAATATTTGTATCGAAAATTACATTTAAAGCAATCGAGCCATGCACATCCCATCCCAATCACTCGAGTATAATCAGATGGCGTGATGTAAGGAGCTGAAGTCCTGATTCCACAGATGCCTGCGCGAGAGAATCTTTCCTGTTTTTTCCCCTCGCTGTGCTCCTGGAGCAGTTATTTATAATAACCCACTTTGGCCAGGACGCCAAGTATAGGTAACAGGCTTACAGGTACACAAACAGCTCACCATCATAGGCACACTGAATAAGTATACTAAGTACCATGATCTCTAAGGTTACGACAATTGAGGTATCAGAATATCAGCGTGACGTTCATAATCAAACACAGACAACCTGAAAATAAAATACAAACTAGATTGCACAATATGTTTTTTTTACACACAAATAATAAAAAACAAAAAATGTTCAAATTAAAACTAAAGAGAAAAGAACCTGGAAATCACACCTGTTACCCCTGGAGTTGGTTCCTGTCTAAAAAAATGCACCAGCGTCATGTTCAACCAACGGACTTAAATGAACTCCTTTGAATCTTCATTTAAATCTGATTGGGATAGCAAGCCAAAGCCCCCCCCACCCTACCCCAAACAGCGTTCAGACCTTCATTAATGAGGGGCTTACAGGGGGACAGGGGGATAACAAACCTCTCGCCAACCATCTCCTCCCCCTTTACCCCTCCCCAAATCTTTGGAGAAATGGAACATCCTCCCCAAAGAGGCGGTCCACAGCAGATTTACAATACAATCACTTTAAGTGCCCCGTAGTCTACATCAATCCTAATCCTTAAGATGGCTAAAAATAAAGATTGCAGGACAGCTCACAAGGTAGCAGCGATCAAATTAGGAGACTGGGAGGACAGAGAGGGACGGAGAAGGAGGCTTATGAACATCTGATCCAGCTGACTGAGACCATATGGCAGCTGCTGCCCAGATAAAGAGATTAAGACTAGGAGGAGTGCGATTACAGCTGTCTAGCCAATTCAGGCAGCTCAAATCTGCAAGTTCTAAATTAGTCCTTACAAACAGGGAAAAAAAGGAAAGAGTTGAGCAAAAGCCTGACGATGGGACATTTCGAAGAACGTTTGCGGATTTATAGCATTTCAGCCGCTTTTAGAAGATTAAGAATTTTGTTCAAATCTCGCCATTTAAAGTAAAAACAGATTTTAATGGATTAACAGCACACAAACACACAAGATTTTCTTGTTTTAAATCAATAATGCTATAATAACTAACTAACCTACCGACAACACAACTGTATGCGGTCACAGCAGAGCAACAATTTGCCACCGAGACTAAGAAGTGACTGAAAAGAAGAGCCGTAAACAAACAGAATAATGAAACGCTTGCCTGGAAACCTCTTCATGGCAACAAAAAGTGTCACTTGTCCCCAGCCTGGTTACACCACACCAGCTCGAAATCCTTTACTTCCCATTTCGCGCACACTCTGATGGCAAAAAGACTTAACGAGAGCTCCCTATTCAAAACACATCCCTGTTGCCCGGACCCCCCGGTACAGTACCTGCAGTACGCATCAACTTGATTAAGTCCACAGTTGTGGTAGCGCCGGCTGTAACTCCCTCCGCCGAATCAATGAAAGGGTAGAGACGCGAAAGAAAGAGAGAGAAAATCAAACTGTGAGGGACAGATGCAAAGTGGAGGAGATGTTGGAGGGGAATGCGATGCCTCCTCCTGCACACAGATCCGCACACACACTAACTCCCAGTCTGTGCGTTAGAAGAAAAGACTGGGGGATGGCAGCCTGTCAGCTGCTCTGACATCATGTTCAGATGGAAATGCTACCTCCAGCTGTGCTCCTTTTAGTGCCATATGCTACTCCTCTACACTCTTGCCACCAGCCTCTCCTTTATACAACTTTGTTTCTCTTTCCCCCTTTAAAAAAACGGGAGGAAGGGAAGTGTTGTGAGGTGATTCTGTAGAAAACTAGCCAATTCCCCCCTTCGGTTGTAATCTCTCAGCAAAGAAGAACTTGGAAATGGGTCCGTCTGAAAGCCGACACTTTTTTCTAACCTAGTTTCCTGCACTGAGAATTTAAATACCCTCAAGTTTTTTTCTTCCCCCCTCTCCTTCCAGTAACCATAAACAAAGGCCAGCACAGCACATTTGCAACTGACAGATCCACGCAGCTGATATTGTTTTCGACTTCTTTATGGTTCACTGGCCGCGCCATTACCGTCATTCATTTTACTAACCCTTTGGACAACTGACAGAGGAGGGGGAAAAAAGAAATAAGAAACAATGGGAACAATCATACGGGCCTTATAAGTACGGTTCAAACAAAAGCCACTGTATTCCGCTTAAGCACTTACAAAACTCCTTTCTTCCCAAGTATCTTGCTCATTTCTGTTCAACTTCTTTGGTACGAGCCAAACAACAGTTTCCTGTTTACCACAAAAATCAGCAAAACAAAGATATGCAACGACAATGTGAAGGTCTCTTCTGAAGGATGTCACACTCATGAATACAAACAACTCACTGATATGCACAAATAATACAAAACTGAAGAGTTCACTGCATCTGTCACGTGCATTACACTTGCTCTCAGGGGATTTTAAACAATTAACAGGAGCTTTTTTTATTTCAGGAAAACCACCATCACTGCTTAGTTATAATAATAAACAACACTTTACAGATTTACAAAGAAATTGGTTAACATAAAGATATAACTTTGCAAAGAAACTTGTTTTGTACAATGACACGTCAAAGCAAAATAGTTTCCAAACCTGGGAAGTTCTCCAGAAAGACCGAATGGTGCCTAGTTAGCCATTCTAAAACTTAAAACATATTACAACAAACAAAAAGACGCTAGAATAAAACAAAGTACGAGTCCACCTAGGTAGGAAATGGTATTATAGCAGGCTACTCCTACACAAACACACTCACACTCACACTCACACACAGCGCACTGCCGACGGTCTTTCTCTGGATCCTGACCCCGTACGTTCAGGAAAAGCTAGCTTGCGTGGCTAACAAATAAAAAGTAAGCCTTCAACCTGCAGTGTTACAGTTTTGCGGCAGGCCCCGATGCCACGCGCTCGAGCAACTCATTCTGCGCGTCAAGACCAACAACAGTCGCGTGAAAAAGATCGCTACTTTTCCCCATAACAATCCAGCCCGTTCTCCAACCCCCTTTTCATCTCCTTAAAGAGCACCTCGTATCACAGGCACTTACAGGCAGCCAGGTCCAACGTCTTCCTGCTTCCTCCGTCTAATCCTCTCAGCGAGAAAAACAACTCGATTGACTTTCAACTGCTTTCCATAACAACCTGCAGTGGCAGGAAAGACGGAGCGGGCGAGCGGAGCGACGAGAGAGCTGCGGCAGCCAGATGTTTCCGAGCTGTTGCTACTCAACTCTCCGGTAAAGAGGAAGCGCTTGACTGGCAGCGCGCAAGCCAATGGAAGAGGCGAAAAGAAAAGCGAAGGCAAATTGGAAGCTGCCGCTGAGGGGGGAAGAGGGAGGGATGTCTCTTTCTCGGCGTAGGTTGACACCAGGCAACAGTGAGAAAGCAGAAAAAAAGGCCGAGCGAGCGAACGGACGGGTTCCTCGAGCAGACTGGCGCAGCGCGCGGATCGAGGGACATTGCGCAATGTTACGTGGGTACTGTAGTCACGGGCAGAGCAGCGGTGGAGAACAGGTGCACTGCAACTTCCTCCAGAGCCGCGGACACACACGCACACACACAGAGGTAGTCACATGGCTAGTGGAGAACGATATGGCCACTTGAAATAATTTTGCAAATGAGAAACAGACAGACGATATTAGCCGAGCGCCGAAATTATTTACAATTGAATAAAATAAAAAGTAACATGTTTCAAAAGTAAGCCCTAGTGTTTATAATCTTCAAATATTTTTCGTACAAAATAGGTCCTCAAGTGGATGAATAATAATAACAATTATTAATATTATATGGAATAATAATTATTGTTGGAAATGATAATGATTATTATCTGAAATACTGCCAAGGGGTTTCCTAGCTCTAATTGCGAGATTTAATGCGAATTTTATTGCCATTTCATCTGCAGACAAACAGCATTACACGCTTTTTAAAATAAGAGAGCACATCAACTCAATTTGAAGTTGTTCATCTTTATTCATTTTACATTGTTCTAGATTAAATTATAATGCGTATATGGCCTACAGATGAAAAAAATCAAACACAAATAAAAAAAAAAAATAAAATAAATAAACACTGCAACCCACTGTACTGGGTTGCAGCTGGAAGGGCATCCGTTGTGTAAAACATATGTTGGATAAGTTGGCGGTTCATTCCGCTGTGGTGACCCATGATTAATAAAAGGACTAAGCCAAAGGAAAATGAATGAATGAATAAATAAACACAAATAAATAACTAGAAACATAACTGGATAAGATTACGAATAATGGAAGAAAAAGACAATAGTCTTTCTTAAGCAATGAAGTACATTGTGTTATTGTATTAGGCCCATGTAAAATAATATTAAAAAGCAGGATATATATATATAGATATATAGATAGATAGATAGATAGATAGATAGATAGATAGATAGATAGATAGATAGATAGATATAGAATGAGAAGGAAAATAATGCAC